CTCAGGTGTGTAAAAACTACACGTGATGAACCTCTCATTAAAATAAGTTATCATATCAGCAGGAAAAATAAAGAATTCAATTTTGTGTATCCCTACCAAGTTCCCCCGCAGCGTCACTCTGAGGAGACGATACCTCACCTGAATGTGTAGAAGAGCTCCTAATGACTGCTGCTCCTATTCTGATTCTAATGTAGATCTACTGCTGCAGCACAGATAGAAATACATGTTTATTAATGAAAAGACTGAAAAAGAAGAATATAGAAACACAGTTTGTCCAATAGTATCTGACCAACAAATTCACATTGAAGGGTATTCTTCCTCTCTGCTCGCTCCTCATCTCATTCGAAACACACTGAAGCGATCAGAACATCCTCGATGACGGCGAACCTCCGGGTCACGAGCCGAAGGATGGAGGAGCGAGGACGAGAGGAAGCAGCCNNGGATGTTTACATAGACGCCCTGTCGCCTCATCAGCTTATGCAAGTTACATGTGATGTAAACTCACAGCATGTGAAAACTGAAAGAGAATACGAGTCTTTGTCACATCTCAGCTTCCTAAAACATTTCCCCTGCTCTCTGTAGGACCGTCTGATGTGGTTTTTATGGTTTCTAGTTCTCTGAGGCTGTGTGGAGTTGTGTGTCTTGTTTTTCTGACTCTCTTTGTTCCTGTTTTTTGCTCAGGGAAATGTGAAAGACTTCCAGCTGTGGGTCATCTCCAAGAGGGAAAACGCCCCCTATCCTCTTATCGGTCAGTGAGACTAGTTTGAGTAACTATCATCAGGTCCTGTTGAACTCTTTTTGGCTTCTAAAGGGGGGATGACAAAAAAAAGTTTGAGAACGACTGCTCCAAGCCTTCACACAGGGGTGGGAAGTTTTTTTTAGACACACTGGTACCATTCATTCCCCGAGAGGAGTGTGTGTTGTGTGATGTTGCGCCTGCAGGGAAGAGGCGAGGGGTCCACAGAGTGCGCGCTGACGAATAATGTGATGTTATGGTGGTGTCGATGCTATAGCAACTATAACAAGCCTCCAGGGAGTGATGCTGCCTCCCTCTCCTCTCTCAGGTCATGAGTTTCCCTTCAGTATCCAGATGAGTCATGTGAGACACACGATGTCTCAGGGTGGCGGCGGCGGCGGCGGTGGCGGCGGTTGGCCTGGACGCCGCGGTACCTCCTGCAGACAGACAGAGGGCGATGCAGGTGGAGCAGCTGCAGGTGTACAAGCAGTGCCAGTTCATCCTGAAGCCTCGACCCGTTGAAACACTGCATCTGTCTGCAGGTGAGATCGTCTGCAGGTTGTTTAAATCTAAAAAGGAGTTCAAAATAGTAGCTGGAGTGTCGGTTCTGATGCATTCTGGGATACTGCGTTGTCTTTTCAGATTTTTCTCAGAAGTCGTTTAAAAGGAGGCGTTCTCTCATCACCTGGGCCTTCTGGCGCGGCTCGTCTTCTCACCTGAATGAACTGTCCCTGACCGGGGCGGCTCGAGGCTGCCTGTTCAGCCAGCCGCTCAGCTGTGTTTGTGTAGAGGACGCGCTGCCAAAGCCCGTCATGGTGAGTGGGTTCAACGAAGGTTGTGACTTATATTAACTGCCTTTAGATGAACCTGATGCTCTTCTTCAGATTGTCTCCTAACAGTAGAGTAGCAGCAATTTCTGCACAAAACGGGTCAGAATGTGTCTGCAGATGGTAACCCCTCAGTCCCATCATGCTGTGCATCTGCTGACATACTGAACATGTTTAAAGTCCAGTCTAAATTAAATAGCCTTTAATTGATCTGCTTTGTAAATGATGCATCTTGTGCTACAGTCACACTAGCAGCTCTGTGCTAACATCAGCAGGCTCACATGCTCGGAGTTAAAATGTTAGCAAGCAGATGTTTAGCAGGTACAACGCTTATCATGTTATCTTAGTTTAATTTGTTGGCATGGCAACATTTCCATACCACCAGGATTCACAGGCTTCTTTGCTGAGTTAGTTGAAGTCTAAAATGCCTCATTTCACAACATTGCGATGCATTCTGTTAGGTTGTTGTTGTTTTTTGCAATTAAATTATGGGAGAACGTGACTTTTTATGAATTGCAACTATTTGGGCCATTTTCAAAGGCAGACCGTCTTTATCACCCAAAGGAAATGGCAACAAACACCATCCTCACTCTCTCTCTCTCCCTCACCAGGACATGCTGGTGTTTCTGTACCACGAGGGTTCGTGGACGCGGGGGATCTTCCGTCGGCCGGCGGGGGCTCGGGCCGTCAGGGAGCTGCGGGACACTCTGGACGGCGGAGAGTTTCATCTTCCTCTGACAAGAGATCACGTCTTTATCATAGCCGGGGTCTTTAAGGTACGACAGTATGAGCGTGTGTATATTTTAGTGGATTCCAAAACGTTCAAATCCGGGTGGAACTGTAGTCGTATTTGTTTAATTAACAGCCTCATGGGGAAAGGTTTGTGTACATGTGCCACTGTGTTTACCTTTTTGACCCGTGTCTGTAAGCACAAAATTAATCTGCTTCCATCCTACTCAGCCTGTGTGTGACATGCTATGCAGCTACGTTAGCAGGACAAGCTGTTCAGATTGGTTTGTTAATGTGATCTGGATTATAATCTCTTATTATCTGGAGGGATAACAGAGAGCTTAAACTGTGTCACGTCTTTACACGGCTGCACCGGAGATTTCTCGTTTGTGATCATTATTTCTATTTGTCACAGCCATCATGTTGTCTGAATTCATTTTAATCGCAGTACTTTGAACGTTCATAAATCTTACTTAGACCACGTATAACAATGTCTTCCAAAGTGTAATTAATAATATAATTTTAGAGAAAACACTAATGTCCTGATGTGTGTGTGTGTGTTTTCAGGACTTCTTGCGCAGCATCCCAGGCAGCTTGTTGTGTTGTGAGATGTACGAAGAATGGATGGACGTGCTGGAAGAAGAGGATGAGGAGGAAGAACAAGTGCAGGACGTAAAGAGGTGACTGCTACTCCACCTCTTCTAGCATCATGGAGAAAATTCCTTATGCGATTTCAGCTCCTGAGATCTTATCCATACCCTGGTTCTGTCTTTCTGCAGGATGATTGGTCGCCTGCCCAAAGAAAACGCCCTGCTGCTACGCTACCTCTTGGCCATGCTGCACGGTATCCAGGGCAACGCCCAGGAGAACCAGATGACAAGTTTCAATTTATCAGTGTGCATCGCTCCCAGCATGCTTTGGCCTCCTGGAGCGCCTTGTAGCCCTGAGGTGGAGGGAGAAGGAGCCAAGAAGGCAAGCGAGGGGAAGGAAGTAGTTTGAAGCATTTGGGGCAGAATATCACTTTAACAGCTACCACACTGTGGAATTTGACCCAGACCTCGATAGAGTTGGCTGCTGTAACTTCTCTTTCTGTAATGACTTTGTCACCCAGTATTGTTGCAACACAATTAAATCAGTCCGTCTAAGCCAGGTCACAGCTTAGTAACAAAGAGAAGTTTGTTAGTTTTGTCTGCAGGCCATAGAAAACACAAATATAGCACAGAAGTTGCAATCCCAAGAAACAATAGTGAACCTCATTAACCACTGCTGACTCACTGCCTCTACTCAATGATTTGACAATTCAAATACTTAAAAAAACCATGTTCAAAATGTTGTACAGCATATTTGAGTATACAGTGTATGGAGTTAGAAAATATGGCCATCTAACATAGAGGCATGTTTTCAGTGACTGGCTCAGCAGCTGCCTGAACTGAATGAGTGAGTTAACACCTCTAAAGCACATCAAGCTTTTCTCATAGGATTGTCTCAAATCAGCTTTCTAGAAAGGGTAAAGGGTAGAGATAATGTAAAAGCACTTTGTTCCAGAAAGTATGAAGCATTGTAACACTTCTAGCTGCTCAGAAATGATCCACTTTAAATGCTGAAAGCAGGACGTTAGAGAGACGCAGTGCTTCCACGCAGCCTTGAACACTCAGAAATATAAAACAATAGTTACACTGTTGTCATAATAAAATAGCTAAATGTCAGTCTTTCTCCTCTTGTCTGCTGCAGGTTTGTGAGCTGGTGAAGTTTATGATTGAACACTGTCAGCAGATTCTGGGAGAGGATCCGTCCTCCGTGTTCGGAGGACCGCCACAAAGACTGAACACTGACGAGATGGGATCAGGTACAGAAACAATAGAAGTCTTGTTACGGGAGAGGAAACATTCATGTTAACAATCTGTACATCTCAGTGGACACAGATACACGCACAGCTACTATGACCCACGAGATAATGGCTTATCACCCCACATAATATTTGATTGGATTCATTTATGTAATTGCCCCAAATTCAGAATGAGTCATCAAAAGAGCCATTTAGATATAAAATTGTTATTTTGGGCATAAAACAGTTTATAATTACACAAGTGACACAGGGTTAGAAGTTGGAAAATATGATTTTAATTTCAATTTTTACATAAATGTGGTTCTCATTTGCAATGTTTTCAGTTTGTTTCTGTCTTCCTATGTCTGTCTCATTTATGTCTTCCTTCTTTCTGCATGAACTCTTCGTCCCTACCCTGGACCGTCAGACTCCTGGATTTACCCTCTGACCGACTCGTCCTACGACAGTGTCGAGAATGAGTTGGACAACAGCAGCGGTGGGTCGCCGGGCTTCTGCAGCAGAAGACAGTTTCGATCCAAACCGCTACAAGGCAGCCTGGACTCCATCCTCACGTTCAGCGACTACGAGCAAGACACGGACCCAGACGTACACCGGACCCAAACTGACAGCCCGCATGGTCTGAAGTTACACCCACTGGGGAGAACCAGGGGCAGGAGACAGGACCCAGACCTCTCCAGCCCCAGCCAGGACGCAGCGACTGTCGACGCCTCCTCCACCCTCGACCTGCCCTCCCTGGACGGTCGGCACAGACAGCGGCGGCGCTCGGAGCCGGCTATAGCGTACCTGGCCAAGTTTGGGCCGTGCGCTTCAGGGAGCACTGGTGAGGATGAAGATGGTGAAGAAGAGCTTTCCCAGAAGCCTAGCAGCCACTCGCACTCCAGCGGTGAGACCGCGTTAAACCTGCTCAGTGTGAGGTCAGCGGCTCTGGAAGCGAGCTCCTCCAGCCTCTCGTCTACCCCAACCTCCCCTGCACCAACCGGCTCCTCCCTGAACTCTCTGGACTCCCTGCACTCCCTGCACTCCCCCATCAGTGACCACGCCTGGGCGACCAGGCGGGAGCTCAACCCAACCAAGACACCCCCGCCCTCCAACTCTTCCTCTTTATCTGTCCCCTCCTCCACCGTAAGCTCTGCTCTGACCTCCGGTGGACTTCCAGACCCGGGGACTTGTCCAAAAGGCTCCCCACCCAAAGAACCACTTAACTGGGGGACCTTGAAAGGCTGCAGGGGCCTCCACCCAAACTCCTGGCTGAAGAAAGGGCGCAGGCTGTCACTAACCCAACAAGACAACTTGGAGAAAGAGGAAGAGGACAAGACTGGGGTGAGTAAAACAGTCTGATTATGGCAGATTACATAGATTCAAATTATATGTGCTAATTGTTAAATATTGATGTAAAGTACTGAAAGTATTAGTCATTAAAGCTGCAGTGGGTAACTTTTGTAAAAATGTTATGTTTCTGAAACGTTCACTATATCCTGACAGTAGTACAACACGGATAATCAGGCTCCTGGAAAGAAAACAACCAATCAGAGTGGAGACAGATGGTTGAAGATTGTTGAGTCTCATTTCCAGCATCATGGTTTGATGACCTGGGAATGAGACTCAACAATCAACTTATTCTTCTTGGCTCTAATTGGTTGTTTTCACCAGGAAGAGCCTGATTGTTTACAGATTCTGTCAGGATATAGTGAAGGTTATTTCAAATATAACAGTTACCTCCTGTGGTTTTAATGGAGGAAAGGTTTTTAGGATTTGCTGCTTAGTCTATTATGTATGATTAAAATATATATATATTTGAATACTGTGTTAAAACTAACAATTGTTGCTACTGTAGTCTTAATTACATCCATGTTTGTACACTTTATTGTAGATTAACCATGTGAGTAGTAATAGAACAATTCCACCCTTTAATATTTTCTATTGCAATTAACTAGTGGTTATTTAAGGATGTAAAGTACTGAAATTAGTTGTTTGTCATGAAAGCTGCAGTAGGTAACGTTTGTAAAAATGTCATGTTGAAATGTTCACGCTTTCCTGACAGGCAATCTGTGAAAGAAAACAACCAATCAGAGCTGAGACAGACGGTTGAGTCTCATTCCCAGGTTGTCAAATACTGATGCTGGAAATGACAATCAACTATCGTTCTTTGCTCTGATTGTTTTCAGATTCTGTCAGGATATAGTGAAAGTTTCAGCAAATATGACAAAGTCACCTCCTGTGGTTTTAATGGAGGAAAATGTAAAGATTCACAGCTTTAATCCATTATGTATGATTGTTGTTGCAGCTGTAGTCTTAATTACATCCACATACTTTATTGTACATTTACCATGTGACAACAGAATTCCACCTTTTCATATTTTTTTTATTGCACTTAACGATTAACAGTGAGTGAAAACAGCCTCATTCTTGATCTTTGACGTTGTTCCAGGGTTTGGGTGTCATACCACTCCCTCTCTTCCTGGGGCGTCCTGTCCTCCGGTGTACCAGCATGGATCTTTAAGTGTTGAATGGTTTGTGGAAAGCGCTTGTGCCCTGTGACTCAAATACACTCTACATATTCATACAGTCCATCCATGTAAGGCATTGCCTCCAGTGGTCCCTGCTGTGTCAGTCTTAAGACAAGAGTTTAATCATCATCACTTGGGGGGGAAGTTTCTTTCCACTCATCCTGAGGTGTTAAGAGTTGGTTCCAGTTTAAATTAAAGTATTGATTTGTGTGTCAGTTTCCTGTGGTCTTTAGCCCTCTATCACACTGATCAGGTCTGGAATCAGCAGCTTTACCGCCCTTCCTGATCACCAGTTTTTAGGAGTAAGTACCTTTTGATGTTTTCAGGTGAAGCTGATGGAGCAATTTGTCATCCAATCACAGACCTGTAGGGGGGGGGGCTATCAAACAGCCTGTTAAACATATTCAGTTTATATGGAAGCTACAATCGGGCATATGGCTGTTTGGATATGAAATATGTTCCATCAATACGCCTCCTGTAGCAGTTGGACTGTGGTTGCAGTCTCTGTAGGGGAGGTCTCGTTTTAACTGCTGTCTAATGACTGACCGCTGCCTCAGTGGGGTTCCATTAAACAGTGGCACCAAGAGACCTGGCTCTGGAAGGGGAGCACTTTCAATACCTTAATCCTCTCTCCCTCCTTCATCTCCTCTGTTCTTAATGTGACATTGGACGGAGAGTGAGTCTGAAGCGTTTGATCAACCTGTTTGTCTCCTGCTGCTGGGTACAGCTTCTTCCAGAGGTCACAGGAGATTATTTCTCTCTCTTTCAGTCTTTTGGGATCATTACGAGCCTCATACTGCTGCTTTGGATCCAACACAAGTGTAATATAGATGTAATCACTCCAAAGAACTCAGTGTCTGTTAACCCTCTGTCTGCCAGCAGGTGAAGTGCTGGACTCGTCCTTTCAAGCTCCATCAGGGTTTACTGTTCCTCTGGCAGGAAGGAGGATTGTGTGTTTGCAGAGTGAGGCTCACACTCCCAATGAAAAAAGCACAACTGCTTTCTGATTGATACCCATGTTGAACTGAACTCTGATCTAATACAGGAATACAGACACAGTCACCATCCTGAAAGAGTGGATTAAGAAAGGAATTAACCCTTCACAAGTCCCACTCCTTGACGCTCTGTGCTCCAGTAGTTGAGAAAACCTCGGTCAGAACCAGGTCAACTTTCCCCTCTCCTGTACTTCCTGCATGTGCTCGTCTAGCTTAAAGCTTTTGAAGGTAGTTTATAACTAGCTAATTAAACATTTCTTAATTAGCTAACTAGTTGGCTAATATTTATGTGACTTATATATTTTAGCAATCTGCTTATCTTGAAAAGACAACCAGAATTTTAAGATGGTTAAAAGATATAAGCGACAAATATTAGTAAGGTGTTAGCCAACTAGGTAGCTAATTAACAAATGTTATAAACTACCCTCAAAATTAGCTTTTCAAGATAAACAAGCATGTAGCATATCCTAGTACAGGACAGAGAAAGTATACCTGGTTCTGACAGAGGTTTGCTCAACTACTGCAGCACAGAGCATCAAGGAGTGGGACATAGGGTCAACCTCTTTCTTAATCCACTCTTTTCGGACTGTAATTGGCAACTGACAGTCTGTGTTAGATCAGAATTAAGTTCAACATTACCTATTGGGAGTGTGAGCCTCACTCTGCAAACACACAATCCTCCTTTCTGCCAGAGGAACAGTAAACCCTGATGGAGCTTGAAAGGACGAGTCCAGGACCTTCACCTGCTGGCAGACAGAGTTAACGGACACTGAGTTCTTTGGAGTGATTCCATCTATATTACACTTGTGTTGGATCCAAAGCAGCAGTACAATACAATGATCCCAAAAGAGAAAGAAATGATCTCCTGTGACCTCTGGAAGAAACTGTACCCAGCAGCAGGAGACAAACGCCTCAGACTGACTCTCCAGCACCGGCTGCATCGCTGTCACTGGGCCCTTGGTGGACAGACGTCACAGTAAGAACAGAGGAGATGAAGGAGGGAGAGAGGATTAAGGTATTGAAAGTGCTCCCCTTCCAGAGCCAGGTCTCTTGGTGCCACTGTTTAATGGAACCCCACTGAGGCAGCGGTCAGTCATTACACAGCAGTTAAAATGAGACTGCAACCACAGTCCAACTGCTACAGGAGGCGTATTGATGGAACATATTTCATATACAAACAGAAGAACAGCCTTCTACCCGACTGTAGCTTACATGTAAACTGAATATTTTTAACAGACTGCTTAACAGCCCCCACCCTACCTTAGATCTGTACTTGGATGTCTCAAACTGCTCCAACAGCTTCACCTGACGCATCAGAAGTACTGACTCACAACAACACGGCAAGCTGCTGACCCTACACGAGTGTGACAGGAGGATAAAGACCATTATGGACAGGAAACACACACAAATAAATACTCCAATTGAAACTGTAACTACCTCCAACAACACAGGATCAGTGGTAAGAAGCTTCCTACACAGAACAGAATATCTAGACTGAGAGGAGGCACAACATGTCTGGTGGGTAGATGATTAAAATCTCGCCATAAGACTGATACACAAGAGGCTGGACTGTCAAGAACATGTAGTGAGTATTTAACACAGGGAGCCGGCAGCACTTTCCACTAACCTTTCAGCACCGTAAGATCTCTGCTAGTACTGCTGGAGACGGGGCCCCTGGGTAATGGCGTGGTATACCTGTAAGGGAGCATCCTAGAACCATAACAGCTGAAAAGGACCACTAATGAGTTTAGATGCTCTTCTGTTTCCACCAACAGGGAGGACCCACTGAGAAGTCGCTCACACTTGGAAAACTCGTCCCGGAGAAAGGAAAAGCGGGCGGAGGAGGGAAACCGACCTCCAGCAGCCAACCCAAGCCCAAAACCTCCTGCAGAACCTCAAAGGATGCAGAAGGAAGAGGGAGGCCTGGCCAGGAGGCCCACAAGCCCAGACATCTTAAACAGGACTCATCCAGCCCCCCTTCTCACCACCGCTCTACAGGCAGCCTCCAACTTCCCAAATCCCCCTGGTTCCACTCCTCAGACTCCCCGTCGAGCGCAGTGAAGCAGCAGTCGCCATCTTTGTTTTACAAGCAGAGCGGGCCGTCCCTGTCCCTCTTCAAGCAAAGCAAGTCTCACTCCGTGGAGGAGGAATGCAAGCCCAGGCTCTTCCAGCGCCGGGGGTCGGAACCCGAGCGGCAGGTCGTAGAGCGAGCCGCCACCCTCACACGGGCCAGGCTGCCCAGCGACCCAGGACTGAAGGTTAGCGAGGTGGACTCACAGGGAGGGACGCCAGAGGGCCGGTTCTGCCTCTCCCCGTATGCCACCAAAGCCGTGAGAGACTACTTCTCCTCTCACCCGCGCAGTAACCCTCAGAGCAGCCAGCAGGTGGCGCTCGCCCTGGTGGAGAGCCGCAGGGAGTGGCTGAGGAGATGCAGCGATCCCACAGCAGAACCAGACTTTGACCAGCTTCTGTTTGCTGAAGAATCGTACGTCTGATTCTGACTAGAACCTGGAGCGACACAGAACGACGCGACTTCACTGCTGCTTCCAACCTGAGAATAAATTAGTTATGATACTCACCACCTTAAAAACGACTGCTTTCAGTGTTTCATTAGATACTTTCTGCCTCAGTCTAACAGCACCTGAAATTAAATTGTTTGCTGTGGTTGAACAAACAGAATTAGGTACATTTTAAACTTTGCCTAGAGCTTTTTGCCATTAAGGGAATGTGTGTTTTTTTTTTTTGCTCAAATGTCCTCAAGGCTGGATTTACACACGCAGAAGGAATACTACTTTATAACCTTTTTATATTGAAATAAGTTTGTCACAGTCTAAACACAAGGATTGTCTTTTTAACTTTATCAGGCCAAAGTTGAAACCTGCCAATAAAACTACCTGGTGTTGCCTTCTTACGTTATGAACAAGTAGAATCTCATTATTGACTAATGATTAATATTGTATTGCCTGATAGGTAAATTGAGCTCTAAACTTGTTGTTTGGTTTAACTTGGTGATTTCTGCTCTCAGCGTTATGTTTGGACATATTAAACAGATTGTAGGTAACTTACTGACTCCTACAAAGCGTGTTTATATGCAATTGTTTTGAGTATTTTACAGGATGTAACATTTTATTCTAAGACATTTCCAAGCTAAAGCTACAGTTAAGAGATTGTTAACCCTGGTTATCTGAGTTTTGATGCTTAATAAAGCCGATCACTGTGCTACTTTACGTTTAACGCTATACAAGTGTCACAAATAAAACAATTAACGCCCAGTATTTGCTTATGAACATAATTTAGGACATTATGGGATTCTACATTGTTGGCAGGTAGTGTAAATGCAGCCTGGGTACACACTGTGACATTGGATAATGATTATAGTTTTAATTCAGGACAATCTCTTCATGTTACAGCTTCACTTAAAGAAATACATTGAGTTTTGTAGATTAAGTAAAAGGTGATAATTCACTATTTATGCTTTTAATGGAAACTTCCTTAAAAACTTTGTGCTATTTTCTGTCTTTACTGACATTTGTGCTGCTTTTTGCCGACTGTAGATTCTACAGAGGTATTGGAATATCATTATTTAACTTTTCTAGATGACACAGATTAAGTTTTGCTCACTCTCTGCTCTTTAAATATCTGGGTCATATAAGTATAAACTATTCTTTTAGTCCTTTTTTTAACACTTCAAACGCTTAAGGCATTAGCACATACATGCAGTAGGTATGAGTCTTGTTTTCTATTTGTTGCCAACAATGTGGTTTTCACACAAGCCTGTATTGATTTCAGTTCATCACATTCTGTCCCAATATTTCTATGTAAATATGATCCCTTCGGGGGGAGATGGTACAGTCGTGTTTTTCAAGCTATTTTATGCAGCTCTAAACTTTGTTTAAATAGGTCACAAGACTGTTGCTTTATTACTACGTTATGTAATTGTCTGCTTCCTTTATATAAACGTGTTAATACGCCTACACATCTGCATTTTCAAATAAACTGAAGTGAAACTGATTAACGTGACGTATTACTACATTATTGGTTTACGTTAGTGGTCACCCTTACATCAGAAACAATATGAACACATAAAAAGCGACAGTTCAACACACCATTAGAAAGGTGATTTCTTTTTATTACATTCTTTATCCCTCGATACACAGATATGTGTGTGCTCTAGCTATGTACAATCACATGATGGAATTATGGTTACATAAAGGATTCGATCAAACTAACAATAGTAGAGTTATACATATATGTAGAATAAAATATATGTTTGGGGAATGGGGGGGGGTTAGCATCAGCACAACGTCAGAGGCGTTGAGAACTGTTACATTTCAGTGACAGGCTGCTATCAGCTGTGTTCAGTGAATATGACTGGACTCACACAGGAGGAAAAAGTCCGATGTTGTATTCGGACCAGATTTGCAGCCCGTGAGTTAAAATAAAAATGTATCCTGCACAGGCACAAATCTGCTCTTTATACAAGCATCAGTGTAAATTCAGTCAGTTACAAGAAAAGCTAAAGATACTTTGTTAGATAATGGAAATCACAGCCACAAACTAGCTTAGAGTCTGAGCCAATATCCTGATGGCAGATTAACGGTCAGTTTATATCTCATTAGAGAGCTTAATGTGAGGAGTCATAACTGTCCTGTTACAGTTTTACTCAAAAAAATCTTGCCTAGTGGAGTTTTACTTTGAAAATAAAATGATTTTGTCTTCATTTGAGAGTCAAAGTCCTGTATTCTTACGTCCTGGTATTGACAGCAGGCTCTGGTTGTCTGTTACTTGGAAGTCGTTTGTTTTTTAACAAAGGAGGAAACGGCCGTGCAGACAGCAGTGCTGACAGAGTTACACCTACCATCGCAGGCACATGTTGTGCCTTCAGTTCTGACCGGGCACAACCACACTGTCTGCACCCACTGGTTCCCGGTTAAGACGATCCGTCTTTGCTTTGTCGGATGTCCGCTACGCTCTCTGGAACCCTAGCAACCATGCCCTCCATAGACTTCGTCAGACAGATCTGGCAACCAAGACGAGATCTGTTGGGGGAATAAAAAGGAGGATTAAGTTTCCACGTTGTCTGCCTGTAAGCTTTCCTATTAAAAATGTTAATTAAGGCTGCACAGTTAATCCAAATATTCTCAAAATACAAAGCACGTTTACATGCAATCGTTTTATTCTAAGAAATTTCCAAGCTTAAATACAGTTAAGAAATGAATTGTGTTCAGTGTCTGGTTATCTGAGTTTTTATGCTTAATAAAGCTGATGGATGCCCTACTTAGTTTTACGCTACACGGGTGTCACAATTTAAAAAATGAGTGCAATATCCAAATCACAGAAGCTGCAATTTGTTGATAAAGGCAAAATTATTATTAACAGCTTTATAATGAAACACTGTATAGAGAGTTGGCTACACCTCTCGTTTAGTACAGACTGCATAGGTCACATGATTCAATTGCTTTTTTCAGTCAACATTACACATGGGTTCAAAAAATAAAATCTCTTTACCAATCATGAATTACATCTCAATCATTTGACAGAGCAGCTGTAATTTATTAGTTTATCAACTGTGTTTGAGCCCCACAAACGAGGACATTATCTGACTGTTTAGCTGCTAAATGCTCCACTATGTTGCCTGCTGCTCTGGGAAACAATGCCAAAAAGCTCAGTTACTGAATAATTGTAATTAGTTAAATCACTTCTCTCAAAAGTAATTGAATTACTTTACTGATTATTATATTATAAATTGTTATTATATATAATAAAGTGATTAGTTACTAATTAAAGTTACTTTTGCATTAGTTTTAATCTCAATTCTCTTAATGCACACACATATTGTTGCTGCGGGCTGAGAGTTATAGCTCCCGACCACCAGAGGGCAGCAATGACAAGCATTCATACCTGTAACCTACGCTGACTGTCTTATAGACAGAACGGTTTATTGGAGACAACCCACCATTAACTGAGCTCTGCCACAGTAATTAAGTTATTTATTGAACAGACGAGTGACGTTATATGTGATTAGAAACCGATAATTCAGCGGGCTGTGCTGCATTCATCCGCCATCTTCTACAGTTCACTATTTTCAGACAGGACAAAAATAACGAGCCTGTTAGTAATTGAAAAGGTGTTATTTAATCGTGTTATAAAACATAATTAGTTACATTACTAGTTATCGACAAAAGTATTGGAATTATGGTAACATTACTCCTGACACTGGTAGAGAAGCAGCCTAAATTTTACTCACTTTTATGAACAGAGTCTCCTCTCAAACAAAAACCACACTAACTGTAATGGTAATAAAGAGGGAGACAGAAAGAGCAGAGCCACTTCTAAAAGTCTGATGTGGGAACAGCGTTGAGGGAAAAACTCTATGTGGGACTTTAACAACGTGGGTTGATGCTGTTTGTGTGTTTCCTCTTTTGTCCTTCACTGAAACAGAACTATCAGCGTACCGCAATGTGTGAGACCACTTTCTTTAAAGAGGATGTCTGACATTGTCTATCTTGTTATTTGTAATCAGCACACTCTATAGAAACAACAAACTCAGTGATTAATACTCCAATTAACAACTATTGTCTATGTGCCCGAAGCCTGATGCATAAAGCCTCTTCTTCTGTGCCATAGCAACAAATTAAAGAATCAAACTGTGACATCTGAATAGCAAACTGCCACTAAACTCAACACTAGAAATATGACGTTTGGGTTGCAGAAGCAGGTTTGGCAGGTTTTGTGTGTGCTCGGGGCGTTTCCTTACGTGTCAGTCAAGCCGTAGGCTAAATCTAACATGTCCATCTCCTCATCTGTGACTGGCCCCAGATTCTTGTACACGTCCTCGTCAAAGATCAGATGGCACGTGGAGCACGCCAGGGTTCCCTCGCACGCTCCTGGAAACACACAAAAGCATTACTGCCGGTCTGATCGGGCCAGGGACGAGCTCCGACGTCACAGATGCCAAGAAATTGAAAGAATGAGGCTGCTGGTTTATGACAACATCCCACCCCAATACGTGTGTGCGCTTACGTACCAAAGCCATCGAAGTCTAGGTCCTCGTTAATGACTACATCTAGCAGTGAGTCTCCAGGCGACCCCTTCACTGTGATCTTCTCCCCATCTCTGTTGATGAAGTTGATCGTCACCTTATTGTCTGACCTGACACACACACACACAGACACACAGAGAGAGAGAGAACAGTTTTAATTCACTGTTTCTATTTTTTATTTACATAATAAGTTAGTAACAAGAACCAAAACCTGAAATAATTGTTAAATCTACTGGTTGCGGTCACAAACCCACCAGGGGTCAAGCATCAAATATTTGCTCTGTGTTTTCCTGCATGTGCTGACTGTCGCTGCCCTCTAGTGGTCACAGCTCATCACTACACACAAACCCAGCTGACCAAAAGATGTTAAACTGCTTTACCATCTCGGTGTGAAAATCTCAGAACATTGTAAACATAAATATAAAATGACTGTTTGTTTACTCGGATATTAAACTTTAAGCTTTGTCATCAGGAGATGAACTCCAGTAACAAACCGAATATGCCACAACATTTCCACTCTGCCGCTGACGTTGCGTGTAAGAAATATTTTAGTTTCTCATGTTTTTAAATAAAAAGTTCAACTTTTTTGATAATTGATTAATCAATTAGGTCATTTTTAAGCGACAATGACAAATCATTTGATGGTTCTAGTTTAACAAATGTGAGGATTTGTTACATAATAGTAAAGTTAAAGTTTTGGACTTTAAAATCATTGGGAATCCTGGCAAAGAGGAAGAAACGGTCAAAGCGTGGCCTTATCTCACTAAGAGATCCGTTTTACTGGTAATGTCTTAATAAATGCTTTAAATGCCACACAGACAGGCGCAGCAGATTTTTTCTTTGACTAAGAAAACCTGAATACAAAATGAGCTGTACAAGGATTAGGATGGGAATCGGGAACCGGTTTCTAAATTGCAATATTTGTTTTTTCACATAGAAAACTGATCAGGAATCAAATAATTGATGACATTGGTATCAATGAAATCTATTCCAATGTAATCAGCTCCAACCCTTGTCTACACAGCTTTAGAAAACCTCCAAGACAACAATATAAACAGACTATAGATGCACCAGTTGGGAAATTTTAGCCGACACTGATGTTTAAATCAACAGTTTGGCCGTTGTCGATGTTTAATTCACCCTTTAATGCTGGGAACTAAATCTACAAAGATAAACATCTCTACCTTGTCCGTGCTGCTGCATGAAGCACATCGGCATGGGTGATTGTTTCTCAAATATCTGAGTTGAAAAACAACATTTAGTCAGCGGGGGGGGGGATATTAAAGTTAACTTCCAACCCAGTTGGGTCACATGAAAAAATATTTGTCCCGTTTCTAAATTAAGGGACACTGAACGGTTAAATCAACGATGCCTCCAAACACATCAGTTAAACCACAGACATTAAGAAGTATAACATCAGCAACTGGAGGTGGAACTGAACTAGTTTTTTAATGTGGAACAGTCAGTGGAGACACACAGCGTGCAGGCGTTGATTGTTCCTGACTGTATTCAGCCAATTAATGTTTCTGTTCAGCCTAATAAAGTGGAAGGATAAACATTCTTCATCCGATTAGCCTCGACAGTCAAGTCTCTATTTCACTGCAGTGAATGTTTCAGTGGGAATTACACTAACATGCCAACAGTGCTGACACACTGGGATGTGACTACATGTAAAACTAGTAAAAAGAAAACTATTAACCGAAGGAGACTCCATTCTTAGACATAAATTAATGAATGAATCATACAATTAATTGGCACACGACATTCCCTGTCACTCTCAGACAACTTTTAAATTCTCTGGGCCATAAATGATAAACTCAGTGACCTTCCTGGAGTCTCCGGACCCTGTGGGAACCCTGTGGTAATCCGCTTTTTAAAAAGAAAAAGGAATAAAAAGGGGGTCAGCCATGCAGTCTGACGTAAACACATGGGGACAGTGTTAACCGGTTTCAGGTCAGCCCGGCGCTGCAAACCTTCAACATGAGGTTCAAGTCATTACTCACTAAGTTAACAAGCTGTTTGGCCCTGAGAAGCCCAGCCGTGGTCGCAGCCTTGAACCTGAACATTAAGATGGATCACTTTCACCTTGTGGGCATGTGGAGCCTCTTTGAAGGCCATTTAAAAATAAGACATCACTGTAAAGTGTCACGGTTGCTATTTTAAGACAAATACACACAATTTCAGACTTTCATAAAAAAGTTTTTCAACTTATTTATTCCTGCAGGTAATTTAATTAACTCTTAATTAACATTTCAGACCAAACTCCATTCACAAATGTGACACTTTAATGGTGCAAACACATGATAAAACGTTCAGGCCACCCACACAAGCTGCTTAGGCATAAAGGCCCAATCAAGCAGAACTTCATGTCCATTAAACCTTAAAGCTTTAATAACTTTCTCCCCACTGGCTTACTTTCACTGCTGATCCTGAAGGAGGATTAAACTGTGGGAACAAACAACCGCACTTACAAAAAGCTTCACACACACACGTGTCTCAAACAGAGCTGAATTAATAAGTCAAATAATGAACAATGTGCATCAGGAGAAGTCAGACAGTCTCACAGGAATATCCCTGATGTTCTTCCACTGTGCTGATAACAAAAGGTCACATTGAATCACCTGTTTTGTGAATGGAGCAGAAGCTGTGTGACCCACACACACACAGCGGCTCCGTGGGGTTCAAACCCAGTGTTTGTTTGAGTAATAGTACCTACCTCAGACACGGTGTGCGGGTGGTGAAGCTCCTCTGACCCTTCAACCAGCCACTGGAAGTGACCGCCGCCATCCTCGGAGAATAATCTCGTAACTTAACGTGAGCTAATCTTCTTAACGCCGCCACCAGAGCCATTTCACCCACGATACACTGCTAAAATAAAACTAAAAGTAAACGCAGAGGCAGTATCCGAGCTGTGGGGGGGGTTAGACCCGGCGGAGAGACCCGACAAATGTTTGACTCAGCCCACGGAGCTAGCTGGCTAGGCTAGCTTGTTGGATCAGCGAGAAGTCACGTTCATTGCGTAACGTGTGCACATGAAGCCTCTTAGAGCGCTAATCGATGGGTTCAATATCCTCGTGTGGATCGGCCACAAAGCACACAGTCGGTAGCTGCTGTCTGCTTCGATCCGCGTTAGTTTTCAGTCAGTAAATGTGAAGTCTCCGGAGTGTTTCCCGACCAGGACTCACCTCACCGTACGCGGGGTGGGACTACTTCCTGTCGCGACTTCAAAATAAAAGCGGTAGCCAAAAACGAGTTGACTCTTCCCTGGGAATACACCGTCAAGAGGTTAGGATTAAGTGTATACATAATAAGAGATCTGGTACGAGTTAATATCCAACACGATGTTGTTCGGAACATACACGTTTCCATTCATTATCAAATGTGGTTTTTTATTTTGCTTTTATTTTGAAAGCTGGGGCGCCAGTCCTCCAGCTGTGCTCGCTCGCTTGATGAACGTTCCGTGCCTCTACACGTGGTTGCGTTGGCCAATCAGGGTGCGTCCGGTTTCTGTGCTCGTTTTGAGTCACCGCGTCAGCCGGCGGGGCGGGGTTAGAAGCGTTTGTCGCCATGTGGCTGCTCACTGAAGCGGTGCAGCTGCCCCCGCCGGGTACCCGGGTATTAAAACCGACAGACTCCAAAGTGTTGCTCAATAAAGGTTAACGAACCTCCACAAATTGGGACCTCCACACTCTTCTCTCCTGCCAAAGGGATTGAAGGAGAGAGAAATCAAATGCCGCACACAACCTTGAACTTCTGTACTTTAGTACTATGACCTTGCTGAACAGCTTATGTACAGAATAATGCATCTTATTCCATAAAAAACTCTTTAAGTCATGTGTTTTGTTTTATTTCCTTCAGCAGTGTGTATGTTACTGAATATACACCAGTCAGAGATAAAGTAGTAGTTCCCCTCTTTAATAAATAATCCATACGACCTCCTGTTTCTTTGGACTTCAACATGACACAATCAATTCCTACTAATAGATTAGTTCTTTAAATAAATGTATTTAAAATATATATTTAATTACTTTTAGGTGCTTTGTAATTTGAATTTTCCTGGGCAGAAAGAAAATAATAATTTGGATCAAAATACGTTAAGCGCTTGTTCTTTAAAATACCTGCTATTTTGCACTGTATCATACTCTGTTGCACTGTTTTGTCCCTTCCTTTAACTGGTTGCTTGTAAAGTTGTTTTAGAAATGCTAAATCCCCAGTCTTATTGTCATCTGAGAGAACTGGTACATCACGTGGTCTAATTATTCAGTCTCTCCAGTTGCATTTCAATTGACTGCTCACTCAAATCAGTCAATGATCGCTTTGACTGACCCTAAATTCACAGCCTCCCACCTCCAAGATACCGAGTGGTCACTTTAAATCTATATTACTGGGAAATTAGCATATCAGTTCATAAAGAATGTATTTTTGTATGTTAATATAACAAATTACTTGTATTTTAACTGATTACATTTTCTCATACCACTATTTTTTATTTTATTTTGACACATTTGATGAGTGTGATTTGTAACAAGATACTTTTTGATGTTTTTGTGCCCATCTCTGCTAATAAGGTGCACACGTCTCCCAACAATAGCATAGAAATGACCTGTAAAACACTCCTGTCCCCCTCGAGCAACCTTCAGTGCCAGTCACGTTTACTATCTGGCCACTTTCACAAATATTGATTGAGCCACCCCTGATTAAACCAAGTGCCATTCACCTTTAACGTATTTACAAAACCAGGAAAACAGGAAGTGTACAGTATAAAAGAATGTCAAGGAAAAATTTATATTTCATCTGATTTGTATGTCAGAGGTCAACTGTTGACAGCCTGAACTTTATGAACTTGTGTTCGAGTCTTTATCAGGTGAGACCTGAGGGCAAAGTGCATCAAATATCACTGATAATAATAATCTATAATCTAATTCCAAGTGTTATTCGTAGGGTTGGGTTTTAGGACCAAGACACTGACATATTAGCAGGTGGCCTTTTTGTTTCTGGTTTGTTCATCACTGCTGTCTCAGGTAAGCAACACAAACAGCTACAGCGTCTCTGGGTTTACAGCTGCTGATCCAGCACAGTGGAGGCAAACATACAGCAGATTAAAGGCTAAAAGACGTCTGTTGTTGTCGTTTACAGGATGTTCAAGTTAGTGCTGCTGCTCCTGACACTGTCAGGTAAGACCCCTCCATCTTTCACTGTAGTTTATTTTATACATTAAGTGTAATGATTATTCATACTTAAAGTCACATGATGTATTGAATGCTTTAATTTGCAGATGATGTGAGTCTTAGGGTTTTATCATGAACACTAAATATGTGTTTCTTTACACCGACATACAGTAACTAAAGATAACTTAAGATAATAATCATTTTATCACAAACAACTATGGAGGTTTTCTTATGATCCTACCATAATAATCTTATGTTGAGATTGTAAAATATCTTTCACCTGATCCCGAGAAAACTGTTTTTTTCTTGACTACTGCTGTGTGGAAATAAATAGAGAAATAAATGAGAAATTCAGCAAAACAAGTTGAGAACATAGTTATTCCTTTTGATAATCCTAGTTAATTTTCTGATTATTTCCATGCCGTAATTAATTGTGGCTTACGTTGCCTTGGCAGCAAAAGTGTTGACTGTGGCAAACAGCAACGCAATCACAGCAGAAATTAGACTTTGATCATTATTGATTTATTACACTGTTAAGGAAAAGCTGTGGCCTACATATTATCCTGGCACAATAGTTAATAATTAATGTGAAAGGACAGACAGTTATGTATCTGTCAACTGGCAATGGTGTTTAATCTGAAAGGCCTGCCTTTCTACCTCTATGTGAGCTTCTGTAACACTGAATAACTGCATATCCTCAGTGTGGCAGCACTACTACTGCAGAGAAAGCCCAAACACAGCTAACTGTAAAATAACCCCTTCCCAGGCCTCCAGGCTGCCCCACTTGCAGTCCGTAGACGTTTGCAGAAGACATCTTTGACCTACCGGCTCCCCGATGGCTTCCGACAGGGCACCGAACACGCCGACATCCACGAACCTGTTCCCAGTGGTTTCCGACAAGGTACCGAGCCCTCCAGAAGATTCATTGTTGACCTCAACACCGGCCTAGTGCAAGAACACATCAGTGAGATGGACAGGAGAGGTAATCAAACCATAATGAAGAACTAACTACTTTTATCCATTTGGGTTCCTTCTAGGTCATTTATCAAATGCAACTAAGACAATGTGCTAATTCAATATGAGTGAGTTCATTAACAGGTGCAATGAGAAATGTTTTTCATCCTAGCTTTCATCCATCCTTCTGGATTTGGAGAGATGGGGAGAAGACACTGGTTGACAGATGAGGGTGAGGTCATAATTTAACTATGATTTATTCTCCACTACTTTCAGCTCCTATCCACAATAAACTACCAAGATACATCAAATGCTATCATGTTAGTATAAACTAAGATATATGAACGTTAAACCTGCTAAACATCAACATATTAGCTTTATCATTGTGCTTTTATAAGCATTTAGCTCAAAGCACCGCTGTGTAGTTCACATAGCCGCCAGCACAGAATATCAACACACTTTAATTTAAATCTGTATAATCTAAAGACCTTCTGTCTTCCAGTACCTGTTGATGTTCGAGCACAGAAGAATGGCGGTGGTTGGGTTCGCGTAGAAGAACCCTCTGCTCCTCGTCTACCAGATGGTTTTAGACAGGGAACTGAACCCAGGATGTCTATCCCAGATGGTTTTAGACAGGGAACTGGACCCATGGGATGTTCAATCCCAGATGGTTTTAAGACAGGGAACTGAACCCAAGGATGTTCAGATCTCCAGATGGTTTTAGACAGGAACTGATAACCCGAGGATGTCTATCCCAGATGGTTTTAGACAGGGAACTGAACCCTCCACCTCGAGGCTCCAAACACAGACAGTAGCATGTACGGGGGAGATCATCAATGGAAACTGCTATGAGTTCAACCCCACACCACTGGCCTTTCAAGATGCACAGGTAAAACATCTCACAGTACAGTTATAGACACACAGAGCTTCATTCGGTCCAGTTAAACTTTCTGTGGTGAATCCATGTCACTAATACTGCTTTGTTTTCCAGATTAAAACTCTGTTTGTGGCTCTTCAAATTAAATCTTAACACTTTTCTGTGTCCGTTCCAGGCGTTATGCAGAGCTCTTGCCCCAAATGCTGAGCTTGCATCTGTAACCAGTGACGATCTACATTCCCGCCTGGTGTCCTTGGTGACCAGTGGTGGCAAGAACAACCCTGTGTTGACCTGGCTGGGAGGCATGGTCAAGGCAAGTTCTTCTCGTCAACATTTTGAAAGAGACAGTATGTTTTTTCTGAAAATATACACTGCTGTAATGATGTAGGAACAGTGAAATCTGCCCCACTACCCTGATCTACCTTCCCAAAAACATCTTGAAAGGTTTGTTATCTTTTAATAGGAACAAGTAACATTAGAATGCTGTTTGGGAAACTATCTCATATCACCATTTTTATTCATGCACTCACTAACTGTGACGCCAGCAGTCTGCTCCTGCACTATGGCACAGACTGGAGGCCAAGGAGAGTGTCATTAGATATCTTATCTAACAGGACAGATAGTGTTATTCTTACCTTGGTATAACATCAACCTTTGAACTTTTATTTTAAGATGTTCCATCTGTTTCTGTACTTGAAGTTTTCATTTTGCGGATAAAAAGTCTGTATTTTTAATGTTAACTCAGTTTTAATAAGAATGGTTGAATCAAGCTTGTGTGTGTGGTGTGCATATCTTTGTTGGCGTTGCACACCTCAGAACCAGCAGGCATCCTGGGTAGACGGGTCAGAGTGGAGTTACAGCGACTGGATGCCAGGTCACCCCAACATTCAGACTGATAAACCAGTCTGCGTGGACATGTTCAAGATAGGTAAGAACTCACACACACTAGACACACACACTGGTAGTTACATGCTCATTTTAACACCATTCTTGCATAAATCATGAAAAAGGCTTAAGTAGTTAAAGTTCTGTGTGTGTGATTAACCCAGAAAGAATGAATAAGGGTGAAGTTTCTTATACGTGTATACAACGTACAATCTGTCATTAAAACTCTCCTTTAAATTCAGGATATTTATATTTTAAGAACAGGCGCCAGCATCTATTTGTTAATTGAGCTGGGTTGGTGAAATATACATTAGTCTGTGTTACACATTAAGCAATAGTGCTAGGGTTAAGGGTTAGGTATAAGGTATCTTTGCCCTGTGGCACAAAGAGCAACCTGACAATCATGTTTCGTCTTTGTCACTTTAACACAATTATATAACAGCTTTAGATGGCTCAAACAGCAGAAATACTGTAAAAACTAGTAGACATTTATTTTTACTAAATGGTTTTAGAAGTACCCTCGGAATATGTGAGTTATGTGAGCCAACATGCCTTTAACAAGTCTGTCCCTACCGCTTCTTTGCAGATGAGAGCTGGTGGACAGCCACTGATTGTGAACTGAAGAGAGCATCCATCTGCTCATACCCGATCACTGCATGAAAACCACAAAGAAACACAACATAAGAGAGTGACCACCTTGATTTGTCTTCTCTTGAATACCCCGAACAATCTTTCTCACAGACATTGTTGTCTGTCTGTGTTTTCCTTAAATAAAACTTTGCATATTGAATCTGTGTGTATTTTTACCTCAGCCATCGCAGTCACTCTTCATTCTTCTTTTAAGTGTTTCAAGTAAAGACAGATAAACCACAAATTCATATGACCCATTTAAATTTAGACAAGACTTTAATGATCATTTTCCACTTGTGTATACAAAGCAGTTTGTACAGATTAGGGAGCCAAGTTAAAACAATTTGTTACAATTTAGTACCTGGAAAGTGCAAAAGTACATTTCAAATACGCTGAAATAAAAATCATGCTGTACATTATATACTGTATTCATAAATAATCACAGATATACACACATCCATTTGGTGACAGTCACAGAGAATGCTGCTAAGACACAACATAGTACTTTTTGATTTTAAAGTCCTACAGTATATTCTTGGTTCCCGGTGAACCTGTGGAGGTTTAACTTCTGGAATGCTGCTTTCATTTGATTTACGGTGAGGTCGGGGACGATAATCTGCAGTAATGAGAGAAACCTTGCTCTATGTTAACACCACACTGGGATAAAGGCACTCCGTTTGTTGCAGTCGTGGAACAACTCGAACAGTGGTCTTTTGTCTGAATGACAAATGCGGATGAACCAAAGGAAAAAAAAAAAACTGCATTGAAAAACATTTTATGCACCTTTCACAGAAATCTCTTGGAGAAGGACACAGATTGGTCTTTGCACTCCACCTTGCTGTGACATTTAAATAAAAACTAAATACAAAAATCACGATGGGAAAAAAAAAGAAAAAGGGAACCACTAGAGCGACCCTGTGTTCAATGCCGAACCCATGACTGAGCCAAAAACAATCAAGGGCTGCCACGGTTCACAGAATCAGAGACGCCACATGAACGACGAAATCAAGGATTTGGCTATAAAAAATAAACATGCATCATTGGCATGTCCTCACACACACATACAATCAGACCCAGGCACACACCCACACACACACACACACACACACACACGTATGGTGCAAAAATATAAATCACATCCACAGGAGCTTCATACTGTGGCTTTTTTTGTGATTCTGATATTACAGAAATCACATTCACACACACGAACAACACGTCTTCCGAGCGGCCTAAACGAGGCATGCAAACCTTCTCGATGCCCATTAAAAGAAAAAACTCCTCTGAAATCAGTCGCTTCACAATGAGCCGGAAGGAGAATGAGATGTAAAAACAACCAAGGATGATAGATTGAGGCAATGACAGCTCAAGGCAGTTGATGGGAGGAGGGGGGAGAAAGGGAGGGAGGTGGGGTACATTTACTGTCCCAGTTAAGGTATAGGAAGACTGGAGATAGAGGGCTGGCTGAGCGACCAACACGGGACAAACAGGAAGAAAGCATCGACAGCCACCTGCCGAAGAAGCTGTATTGCTGTTAACACTGACATCTCATAAAGCCCTTGAGGATTTCTTCTTTCTCCTTCTTTTACAGGTGTCTGAACAGTCAGAGTTAAAAATATACTGGTGTCTGTATTCAAGAGAAAAAGTGTGATTTAAAAAACTGCTACTTTTACCTATAAATAAACATGGATTCAAGTAACTTAAAAACATTCGATGAAGCACGGAGAGCGTTATGTGACTTTAAAGTCGTTTTTCTTTCTCTCTACTGCTGTGATAAATCTTCACATGGAAGCTTCTTACGTTTCAGAGTGTAGTGTTTTGCCTGTAGTGAGAATTTGTGTTTGTTTTTTTCTTTACAAAACCGTATCTTAAATGATATGAACATTGAAGACTGACGCTACAGATACAAGTCAGCTTTATCCAAGCGTAAACAAACAAAAAGAAACACGACTTCTCCACCACCGTGTCTGCTATCTAATCTCAAAATGTACCAAAAATGCCATGCATACGAACAGATGCCAAGTTTCTGGGCACATGCATAAATCTGTCCAAGAAAAAACAAAAAGAAAACCCCAAAACAAAGACAACATAGAAATCCACAATAAAAAACAAATGAGAATCACACACGCACACATACACATATTTATAAAAACGCATAGGAAAGGCAGAGAGTTTGGTCTTGTGAGTGATGGAGCCGTCCTACTGCATAAGGCTGCTGTGTGGCAGCTTTGAGGCAACCATGAAAAGTCTCGGCCTACAGAGCACAGGCCCGCCTGTCTGCATCCAAGGCAAACTAAGGGGGGGGCAAAAAGGCCACTTGAAACTATATTTTGAGACAGAGCATGGCAACAGGCTGCTTGCACACGCACGCACACACACACACACACACACACACACACACACACACACACACACACACAGGAGAGCAGTTAGCTGACCGATCCTGTTCAATTTAAGCTGAGCAGGTCGATGAATCCACAGTGCCTCCGTGCGAGCTAACTGTGTAGTATTATGTAAATATGGATGATGACCGCGCTGTTATTGAGGATGCCGTGGTGTTTGGAAGTGGGTGGTAGTGTGTGGTGATGCGCGAGGGCTGGCGCTACTTCTGGATTTTAACACAGCGCCGGCCCCGTACGTTCAACCCAAAGCAGGAACACACACACAGAAAAAACCTAACCGACACAATGGACACACAGAGCTTTGTGATGGTTTTAGCACCACCAAGACATCTGCCCACCACCCATTAAACAGGTGAAAGGTGATGAAGGGAGTTTCCTCAAACATAATGAAGCAATCTGTTTGGTGACTGATGGGTATGGAGGCCAAACTGGGTGACAGGAATGTGGGTGGATGTGCGTGGAGGGGAGGGTTCAGGGCTCGCGGATGGGTCGGTTGTGGTGGCGCTAGATGTTGTACACCGTCTCCCCCGAGGAGATCTGGGTCGTCTTGCTGGAGCCCCCACAGCTTCCGTGTGATCTGTCCTGAACGCATCTGAGAAGAGTGGAGGAAGAGGAGGAGGAAGTGGGACAGGGGAGAGGGGGGG